GGAGGGAGTGGTGGCCGAAAATTGCAGGGTTTAGCCCTGAGATACTATGTACAGTATCCAGAGGTCCGAGGTGACCCACGACCAGGCCGAACGGTAGGGGTGAAGGTGGTTGAGGAAAAGGAACGGTGGATCTGGGGAATTGGCTGGGTCGTCGCTCTTGAGCGCCATCAAATGAGCACTTCTGCCCTCCGGACAATTCGCTAGGCCAGGCTGCGCAAGTGAGCGGGAGGCAGAATGGAGGCGATGACTAAACCCAGTGTCTCTGTCCCTTCTTCTAGCAGACCCTGGATGAGACTGCCACAGCCATGGCAGTGGAGGCGGCCAGAACCGTGCCGAATGGAGCTCGGTGCCGGGAGTGCACGTTGCACCAATGCCGAGACAGCTCAGAGGCCGGATGGAGGGCGGACTCCATCAGAAAAGCCTGAAGTCGAATGTCCCGCTCTTGCTGCATGCTGGGCCGAAAGTTTCTGCAGATACGGCACTTCTCTTATGTGCGCCTCCCCCCCAAGCTGGGAGTCACTAATAGGCATAGGCCTGTTCAAGCTCTGTGTAGGGCTTGAACCCCAGAGACCGGAGCATGCCCACCAGGGGCAAAGTCCCCTCTGGGACTCTAACTACTAACAACTAGACACTTAACAGGTACTTAACACTAACTACTGAAGAATTAATTCTATACAAGGCCTTAAGGAATGAAGTCCAAAGGAGAAAAAAAACTGATAGCCCTTGCTAAGCAAGGAAAAGCGCACCAACTAACCACCATGGGCAGTAAGAAGGACCTGAGAGGGGATAGGGCCAATGGTGCCTGATATACCAGCGCCTGGGCGCAACACTCAAGGGGACGCCACAGCTGGCCCTATGGTTACTGCTAAGGCGAAAATCTCCGATGACCGCGCACGTGGGTGCGCACACACCTAGAATGGAAACGACATGAGCAAGCACTCCAAGAACAAGCAAGTGGGTTTTTATATACCTTTCAACTTCTCTCAATAGGTCACAATGCATCAAAAAGGGAACAAGCCAATTCCTGTACAAGTTAAAACTAACTTATGATTTTCTAGCTTTTTAAAAAGCTTTCCCTCTCACTCTCCTCCACAAAGGAGTCCTACACAATTCTTGTAATTTTTTTCTACCATCTTCTAATGTTCGTTTGATAATACCAGCCTTCTTGGCAAGGCTTCAACAACCAAGTCAATGCTATCTACTTTCAACCTTAACGCCAGCTTAGAAGTTTTATGTATGGAGAGTTAAGCTATTTTTTGAAGGACAGGAGGGATTAAGATCTCTCTGGGAGATAAGAGATCAGAAGCAGAAGTAAAGAATGGTATCACTAAAACTGACTGGTTTTAGACCTCTCAAAAGATAATATTTTGATGTTTCGTATATTACCACCGATTCCCCAAAACATTACTTATTTTACATTAATTTATTTCTGTTTTATTAGAAAATCATAAAACACAGAAACTGTCATACCAAACAGACCAGCAGTCCTGTCTCTTAACATTGACTAGTAAAGACAATGACCTTGCTTTAGAGAGCTTATTCTAATGACCATAAATACATGAATTAAAAATACAGGAAGAACTCATTATCTGGCAAGAGGAAAAGAGGAAGGGAAGAGTACCTAAATATGGCTATGATTTTTCTATTGCTCAAGAAACTACATGAAAAAATAAGATTTCAAGAAGGAGTCTGCACAGTGTAAGGGGCATAGGGCAAAATACAAGGCATAGTGGAATAGTGTGGGAAGAAGTGCCAACATCTTATGTGGACAGATAAGAAATGACTTTGAAGAACAAGAGCTGGCAGAGCACAGACTTAAGTAAGAGTAATGGGGGAGACGAGATGTTGATGGCAAAAAACCTGGGACCACCATTCGATCACTTCACTTTCCTTCCAGAGGCTACCGCAGCCTTGAACATTTGATATATAGTACAGAAAATATACAGCTTTTGTTAAATTGCTCATTATATTCCTATAATACAAAAAGATTTCATTTAATACTCATACTAATTAAACTGAAAAAATATTATACTGGTTTATCTTCCAATTACTACGAATGTTGATCTGTACTAGGAGAAACACGAGGAATGTAATCATAGAAGAACGCCTTTAAGCAGAACTTGTCTATAACTTCATGATTTTCAAAAGGTACATCTGAATAAAAAACCAAAGTCTTTTGAACATGAATATTTTGACTATCAACATGAAATAATAATTTAGTAAAATATCAATCTGAAAACAGAAATGTCATACTCCTGCATTTTCTGTATTTTTAATTTCATTTCATTTTGATTGAACACTAACATGCTACTCTGTAGTAGTTTAAGACACTGAACCTGCAAAGAAAATCAATTTCAACTAGATTTGGATTTCACAAAGATACAAGGAAGGGTCTGTGCACTGGACCTCTCTAAAGGATCACGGCCCACAGCAGCAGCCAATTGCAACAAACTGATCACTTATCCAAGTTAATGTGAAAGAGATAAACAGGTATGAAAACTTTAATGAAGAACTTTGTCAAAAAGATGGCAATTCAGGAAAGAAAAACTTTGTTTAGAGAACAGCAGTGGAGATTGTAAAATAGGTACAAAATGGCAAACAAGGAGCTATTTCAGTAGGAGTTCTGAATCAATAAGGGCTGCAGGATCAGGACTTTAGGAGAGAGCTAAATCCACAGCAGTTGTGTGTGTTTAACAGCTGCATGACTGAGCCCCTGAACAATGTTCAAGATTAAGTGAAAAACTTGCTAATTAACTCGTCTAGATTTGTATGGACCTAAACCTATATATTCATCTAAATGAACTAAATAAAAAATAAAAATGCATCTTAAATATTTGTACTTTGAGATTAAGCAACAAAAATATTTATAGATTTAAAATGCACAGTTCTATTAAATGGAATTTTATTTTAAAGAAGGCATTTCTCTTCATCTTCAGGGTTTTATTTTAACTACTCAATCAGTTGTTAATGTGGTTAGAGTAATATAGCTAATATTTCTGAACTGTGAGACTGATTGCAAGTAAAAGATGTTATCCCCAGTCAATTTACTTAATTCCATAAAGATACTCAAAATAAAGTGTGAGACTGTCTCACTCAAATAGAATTAAAAAAAAAACAACACCCTGTAAAACAGTTCTGAAACTCAAAATATCTGGGGTGAAATTCTGGCCTCACTGAAGTCACAAAGAGTTCTGCCATTGCCTCGAATGGAGCAAAGATGTTAATCCTTGCATCTAAGCAGAAAGTCACAACTGAATTTTACAATAATTAGGATTTCAGACAAACTTTGTTTTTCAACTGTTACATAAAATATAACTGGTAAAATTATCACGTAAATGTAAGAACTAAACACTGCAGTTTGTATTTCTTGATTTTTTAAATAATCTATACAATAAACTTTTGTAAATGTAATTTAAATGTTTGGATTAATTTTGTAAGTGGGTCTATAGATAATCTGTACATTCTGTATCTAGGATATAGAATATATAGCAATGCTATATTGTGTACATATTATACATTATGCACTTCTATTAACAATTGGTGAGAGTAAACATGTAGCGAAAGAAGCCCCATAGACTTTCAGTGCAGATTAATCCATTGTCCGAATTCAAAACATCAATCTAGTATCACAGTATTTATGTAAAATACATTAATCTTTCTTATTACAAAAGAACAAATCAGATGTCAGTGTTGTTTCCAAGTATGTCTGTAAAAGCATTTTTACAGGAAAAAAATCATTTAAAAATTGCACCAAGTGTTACTTGTAATTTCCTCCCCCTATATTTTCTGGCTACGGTGGTGTGACAGTTCCGTTTGTTTCTCCTTGATGAAAACCCGCCCCATTGGTTCACTCCACTTCCCTGCAAGCCAACCGCCCTCCCCCCTTCGACTCAACAGTAAATAGAAACTTTTTAAAATTATACTTTCACAGCATGAGTTTTTTATGCAGATCCAATTTTGTTTCAGTGGAGTCAGAACTAACATCATGCATACGTTTCAAGCATAAAAATCTATATATCAACATGACAAATGGCAGAGGATATAAAAAAACCAAGAATTTTAAAGACTAACATAAGGAAAGTACATATTACTAGTTTCTTACATTATCCTTCCCCCACCTCCCCATACATTTGTTCTATTCAAAGTATCTACTACAAATATAACTGAGAAAAACACTATCAAGAAGAATAATTAACTTACACAACTTCATTTCACAGGACAGAAAGTTCCTCATAAAATTTCTGAAAAAACTAGTACAGGTGACATCTAGCCATGGTAATCTTACAGTTGGATCCTTTAGCTCAAATATTTGACACCTACAATTTTCTTATGCATGGCTTTACTTTTTAAAAATCTTCACTTAAAAATAGGAATTTTCTAAAGAAAAGCCAACAATGCCTTATGATTTTAACACTCCAGATACAACATTCTGTATAGCTATCACTCACACATTCTAAACTTATAGTCATATCACTTTTGCTTCATAGAAAGGAAAGGCGTTAGATGGAAAATTAATACAAAGTAAAAAGGCATGGGATAAATATAAAATAAAAAGTCAGAGAGAATATAATGATGGCTGCTGATGGGGCGGGATTCATGTTTATGTCCTATAAAGAAATGTAATGTAGATTCACCAGTGGTCTTTTCAGAGGAAGTGAGTTGTTTGTCTCCCCTAGTGGATGCAAGGGAAAGATAATAGGAAGCAAGCATAACAAAAAAAAAACATTTTTTTTTTTTGAGAGAAAGAGAGAGGTCTGTATTGCAGCAATAAAAATTTGAGAAGCAATCTCAATAATAAAGGACTGTCAGCAACAAACCAATAACTTTCCTAAATCATAACTGCACTTGGTTCAACTGTGAGGAAAAAATGCTGAAGTGTTGAAATAATTTAAATGATTAAAGAATTATTTAAAGTAAATGTATATTAAAATGTCTGTTGTATCATCTGTATTATCTTCCAATATTTCTGCCCACCAATATGTAAGTTTTGTAATATTTACCTGTATCCAAGCGCTTTACAGGGGACTCATCATCAACCTCAGAATCTCCACATGCACTTCTTGATCTTTTCCTTGGCTGCAGAAGAGTCTCCAACCTTGGAAGGACTACAGACAAAAAGGTTTTGGTCCCTAGCTGTGGAGAAGTTGGCTGGGTTTCAGTGTTCTTTGCAGACTTTGGGGGGCTTATACTTTTTGATTTGCAGAAGAGAATGGATGTACGTCTGTTTACATCAGTTGATGACTCAGCTACAGCAGAAACAGTCGACTCATTGAGATTACTGTCAAGTAAGTGTTCTGGAGTGTGTCCATTTATTTCTTTCTGAATGGAAGTGCTATATAATTCATTATCAAATTTTACTCTTTTGTAAAGCTTACTCTGCTCTGGATTGAGTTCTACTGGTTTGAGGGTTGGTGGTTCTGAATTAGTCTCCAAGTTTGAAGGAAGAGGTAATGCATCTGATGGTTCAAGTTTAGGGGGAGATTTATCTCCTGAAAAAATTATAAATAGAGTGTGATTTTTGAAAACTGGTAGTTATAAAATCTATTATAACACTCACTATAAATGTTCAGCTCATCAAATAATTGTTGTTTGGAAACAAACCATAACATTTTAAATACATAAACGTTTGGCTAGCAACAACCTATCCTAGTTAGTAGTGCCTAGTTTTATACTGGGATTCTAACAAAATAGGTGTTTACATTTAGTGTTAAAAATTTAAACCTGGGCAGGTATTTTTACCTTACATGCAATGGTATTTAAAAACTTAGGTACAAGAACTTTTTACAGAAAAGTAGAGTAGCAGATGATTTGTATCTGGTAATGCAAGTATTTCACCATTAACATTAAAGTCTGAATAAAATACATTTTCCTAATTTAAATATTCATCTTACCTGTTTACATTAATTTAAATAAGAAAAGCATTTTTAAAGCAGATAAAGCCATTTTTAAAAATTGAATTTATAGCTTAACCTATCAAAATTAACCGTAATAGCGGGCTATAAACTATTACCAAATTCACAAATTGGAAAGTTCTGCAAAGCTGCTTTACAGTTATGGGTACCAGTTTTAAATTTTAAAACGTATAGTTACTGACAAATGCTTGGCAAAGACATCTTTGCAGCCATTACAGGAGAAATCAGAAAAACCACCCCTCTACCAATTTTTCTTTCCCCCTATCCAACCCAAATGTCAATTCTGACTTCTGTTTTGTTTTTCTTTTCTTTCAATTTCATGGTGTAGAATGGCAAGACACACATTGTGGATGTTTAGATAAAACTAGCACTAGAAAATGCTCTTTAACACAAATGACAGAAGAAAAAATTCTGCTCTACAGAATTCAATAAAACAAGCAAAAATTACCCAACCCACAGTTTGCAACAGATAAGTGTACAAATTATTCATCTTTCCTCTATACTCCTTTAAAAAAAAAAAGCCCATGTTGAGACGTCTACCTGCTTTCTCTACAGATATATTGCTACACTAACAAAATGAAAAGGCTATATCTTTACAAGTGAGCATTTATGCAATCAAATGTAACTTGTTGCACCACAAAAATAATCGTTGGTGTAGAACACAAAAAGGATCAAACATATTTAACTAATCTCATGCAGATTTAAGTTTACATACGTTTACTGCACATAAACCAGCCAGAAAGTCTGGAATTCTATTGACTTAAATGATAATTCATTAGTTTGTCATTGTTTATCTACAGCAGTATGGTAAGTGCTTTCTATACACTCAAAAAGGACCACCTTTCCTCTGACTAGTTCACAATCTATGCATTAGTAATGAAACACCTAAAATGTTAAAATCTCAGCCCTGGTCTACACTACGAGTTTAGGTCGAATTTAGCAGCATTAGATCAATTTAACCCTGCACCTGTCCACACAACGAAGCCATTTTTGTTGACTTAAAGAGCTCTTAAAATCAACTTCTGTACTCCCCAACGAGGGGATTAGCACTGAAATCGCCATTGCCGGGTCGAATCTGGGGTAGTGTGGACTCAATTCGACGGTATTGGCCTCCGGGAGCTATCCCAGAGTGCTCCATTGTGACCGCTCTGGACAGCACTCTCAACTCAGATGCACTAGCCGGGTACACAGGAAAAGCCCCAGGAACTTTTGAATTTCATTTCCTGTTTGGCCACCGTGGCGAGCTCATCAGCACAGGTGACCACGCAGTCCCAGAATCGCAAAAGAGCTCCAGCATGGACCAAACGGGAGGTACTGGATCTGATCGCTGTATGGGGAGACGAATCCGTGCTCTCAGAACTCCGTTCCAAAAGACAAAATGCCAAAATATTTGCAAAAATCTCCAAGGGCATGATCGACAGAGGCTACAACAGGGACCCGCAGCAGAAAATTAAGGAGCTCAGGCAAGCCTACCAAAAAAACAAAGAGGCAAATGGTCGCTCTGGGTCAGAGCCTCAGACATACCGCTTCTATGATGAGCTGCATGCAATTCGGGGGCGGCCTACCACTACCACACCCCTGTCCGTGGACACCTGAAGGGGGGAGTCTCATGCAAAAGGGATGAGGATTTGGGGGACGAGGAAGATGAGGAGGAGGAGGATAGCGCACAGGAGGCAAGCAGAGAAACCGTTCTTCCCGACAGCCAGGAACTGTTTATCACCCTGGAACCAATACCCTCCCAACCCTCCCAAGGGGGGCTCCTGGACCATGAAGCCGGAGAAGGCGCCTCTGGTGAGTGTACCTTTGTAAATATAATACACGGTTTAAAAGCAAGCGTGTTTAATGATTAATTTGCCCTGAAGACTTGGGATGCACTCGCGGCCAGTACAGCTACTGGAAAAGTCTGTTAATGTGTCTGGGGATGGGGCGGAAATCCTCCGGGGACATCTCCATGAAGGTCTCCTTAAAGTACTCCCAAAGCCTTTGCAAAAGGTTTCTGGGGAGGGCAGCCTTATTCCATCCTCCATGGTAGGACACTTTACCATGGCAGGCCAGTAGCACGTAGTCTGGAATCATTGCATAAGAAAGCATGGCAGCGTATGTTCCCGGTGTTCGCTGGCATTCAAGCAACATCCGTTCTTTATATCTCTGTGTTATCCTCAGGAGAGTGATCATCCCACAGAATTGGGGGGGAGGAAGGGGGGTTAGTTGGATTTGTGCTGCACTTTAACCCAAAAACCACAGCCCCTCCTTTTAAATGGCCAACTCAACGGGTGCTTGGTATGGGAAAGGAGGGCACTGAGATTTGAAACCATTCCCAAGTTATGAAGGTTGAAGAAGCTGAAAGACTGTGGCTTACCATGGCTGCCTGCAAGCCGAATTCTGTTGCCTGGCCCTGCGTGTGTGATCTCTCACATCAAACCAGCAGGCCCTCAATATAAGAGGCAAAATGCGACCTTGCACATGTGCTATGTAATGTTAACAGCTTGCTTCATTGTGAAAGAGTCTACCCATTCTTCTCTAAAATGTGTCTTTTTAAATACTCCTCTCCCTTTTTTCCCTCCTGCATCTGCAAATGTTTCAACACGCCCCCCATCATCTCCGTCCCAGAGGCTAGTGCAGATAAGAAGGTGGAAAAAAAAGCACTCATGGTGAAATGTTCTCAGCTCATGCAATCCTCCCACACTGAAATAGCTCAGCAGAATGCGTGGAGGCAGACAATGTCAGAGTTCAGGAAAGCAGACAGAAAAGACGAGCGCGATGAGAGGTGGAGGCAGCGCGATGAGAGGTGGAGGCAGCGCGATGAGAGGAGGCAGGATGCAATGCTGAGGCTACTGGGGGATCAAACTGACATGCTCTGGTGTCTGGTGGAGCTGCAGGAAAAGTAGCAGGAGCACGGACCCCTGCTGCAGCCTGTGTAACCGCTCACCCTCCTCCCGAATTTCCATAGCCTCTTCACTCAGAACACGGGGGGGGGGGTGGGGAAGGACTGTGCTCCAGGCACCCAACCACACCATCCCAGAGGACTGCCCAAGCAACAGAAGGCTGGCATTCAAGTTTTGAAGTGCAGTGTGGCCTTGTCCTTCCCTCCTCCCGTCATCCACCACCCCACCTGGTGCTTTCCTCTTCCCCCACCCCTCCCAGGATACCTTGGCAGTTATCCCCCTATGTGTGTGATGAATTAATAAATAATGCATGATTTTGAAACAACAATGACTTTATTGCCTCTGCAAGCAGTGATCGAAGGGGGGAGGGCGGTTGGCTTACAGGCAAGTAGAGTGAACCAAGGGGGCGGGTTTTCATCAAGGAGAACAAACAGAACTCTCCTACCATAGCCTGGCCAGTCATGAAACTGGTTTTCAAAGCTTCTCTGATGCGCACCGCGCCCTGCTGTACTATTCTAATCGCCCTGGTGTCTGGCTGCGCATAATCAGCAGCCAGACGATTTGCCTCAACCTTCCACCCCACCATAAATGTCTCCCCCTTACTCTCACAGAGATTGTGGAGCACACAGCAAGCAGCAATAACAATGAGAATATTGGTTTCACTGAGGTCTAACCGAGTCGGTAAACTGCACCAGCGTGCTTTTAATCGTCCAAATGCACATTCTACCACCATTCTGCACTTGCTCAGCCTATAGTTGAACAGCTCCTGACTACTGTCCAGGGTGCCTGCGTATGGTTTCATGAGCCATGGCATTAAGGGGTAGGCTGGGTCCCCAAGGAGAACTGTAGGCATTTCAACATCCCCAACGGTTATTTTCTGGTCTGGAAAGTGAATCCCTTGCTGCAGCTGTTCATACATACCAGAGTTCCTGAAGATGCAAGTGTCATGTACCTTTCCCGGCCATCCCACGTTGATGTTGGTGAAACGTCCCTTGTGATCGACCAGTGCTTGCAGCACCATTGAAAAGTACCCCTTGTGGTTTATGTACTAGCTGCCAAGGTGGTCCGGTCCCAAGATAGGGATATGCGATCCGTCTATCGCCCCACCACAGTTAGGGAATCCCATTGTAGCAAAGCCATCCACTATGACCTGCACATTTCAGAGTCACTACCCTTGATAGCAGCAGCTCAGTGATTGCATTGGCTACTTGCATCACAGCAGCCCCCACAGTAGATTTGCCCACTCCAAACTGATTCCCAACTGACCAGTAGCTGTATGGCACTGCAAGCTTCCAGAGGGCTATCGCCACTCACTTGTGAACTGTGAGGGCTGTTCTCATCTTGGTATTCTTGTGCTTCACGACAGGGGAAAGCAAGTCACAAAGTTCCATGAAAGTGCCCTTACGCATGTGAAAGTTTTACAGCCACTGGGAATCACCCCAGACCTAAAACACTATGCGGTTCCACCAGTCTGTGCTTTTTTCCCGGGCCCAGAATCGGCGTTCCATGGCATGAGCCTGCCCCGTTGCCACCAGGATGTCCAAATTGCCGGGGCCTGTGCTTTGAGAGACGTCTGTGTCCATGTCCTCATCACTCTCATCACCACGCTGCCGTCGCCTCTTCACCTGCTTTTGCAAGTTCTAGTTCTGCACATACTGCAGGATAATGTGCGAGGTGTTTACAATGCTCATAATTGCTGCGGTGATCTGAGCGGGCTCCATGCTTGCTGTGGTATGGCGTCTGCAGGAGAGCAGAGTTGCAGCGGAAGCGGTGGCTGATGATGGATGCCACGAGAATAGATATTTATAGAGAACGACAAGAGGACCTGCAAGGTGGATTCATGGGAGCAGGAGAGTGGAGTTGCAGCAGAAGCAGTGGAGGATTACTGTTAGCACCACACACATTTCCCAAGGAAGAACATGTACCGGGGAGCCCACGACAGACAACATGGAGAAATTCGCTATTGAGACAATAGCAGCAGAGCAGAGTTGCAGCAGAAGCAGTGGAGGACGACAGTTAGCAGTCCTAGTGCACCGTCTGCTGCCAGCAGCATCCAGGACACAACAGCGGCGGAGTGAGTGAGTTGAGCTGAGCCGGCTGCACACTTGCTGTGGTATGGCGTCTGCGCGGAAAAACGGCGCAGAAAGATTGTCTGCCGTTGCTTTCATGGGGGGGGCGGGGGGGGGCGACTGACGACATGTACCCAAAACCACCCGTGACAATGTTTTTGCCCCTTCAGGAACTGGGAGCTTAACCCAGAATTCCAATGGGCAGAGGAGAATGCGGGAACTGTGGGATAGCTACCCACAGTGCATCGCTCCATAAGTCGATGCTAGCCATGGTAGTGAGGATGCACTCCGCTGACTTAATCCGCTTAGAGTGGACATGAGCAATCTACTGTATAAAATAGATTTCTAAAAATCGACTTCTTGAATAATCGATCTAATTTCGTAGTGTAGTCATACCCTCAGTTGCATTCAAATCATAACAAGGTGGAATCTGGTGCTTCTCTTGTGAACTTACTCAGGACAAAAAAGAAAGGAGTACTTGTGGCACCTTAGAGATCTGATGAAGTGAGCTGTAGCTCACGAAAGCTTATGCTCAAATAAATTGGTTAGTCTTTAAGGTGCCACAAGTACTCCTTTTCTTTTTGCGAATACAGACTAACACGGCTGTTACTCTGAAACCTGTCATTACTCAGGACAGGATCCCAAAATAAGAATTCTGTTCAAATGGTATCTTTAAAAATAAGATGTAAACTTTCTTATTAAACACCGATTTGATAAGAATGTTTTATATTGTTCCTCTTTATAAAATCCAAATTATTTGCAAGAAAAATGTGATATATGAGAGACAGACACAATATCTAACTACCAATGGAAGCAACTAGCAAAAGGGAAGATTTAACCACATATTACAAAGCTGTAATTTTACTGAGGTACTCTGCAAATATTATAACTCTCAAGAATAGAGATCTTTTTTGTGTGGTCAGAAATCCAAAATGGAATTATAAACATACCGGATAATCCATAGCACTTTGAGAGACTAACAATGTAAAAATTCCTCTTCCCTGGTCAATACCTGCTGTGTTTTTTACTTATTTATTTTTAAAAACAACTATCAGGATCTATTTGCCTGCATCTCTCATATCTGTTTTGCAATATGTTTCTAATTCTTTTCTAACTCATTTCTATTCCAGAGTTTAAATTTAAGCTATTTACAATCCATAAAGGTATATGAATTTTTAACTGTACTTTTGACCTACTACATCACTTCTGAATAGTTATGTTAACACGTTTTTTAAAAATACATTTATTTCAGGTATATGTAATAAGTATATGTCTAACCACTATGCACTTTATTTATAAACGCATCTTTTGACTATTTTAAGATTCAAATGTATCTAAATCAATCTGGATTTTTTTTTTTTTTACTGTTTTAATTATCTGTCAGTAAGAAAGTTCAGAAATAAATGTTTTCAGTTTTAACAAGATTAGGGAGATAATTTAAGGAATCAGATTTGCTTAAAATTATTAAAATAGCTATTCTAAGAGTACTCAGAAATCACAGAATTAGATGAGAAGGCCAACTGCAGTTGTAGTTACATTTTTCTAACACTGTGCCTCCATACTGCAACAGTTTATATCTTTTGAAAAACATTTTTATCAAGCTAAGAGACTCAAACATGCAATTCCAAAGATGGCTAAGTGATGGAACAGTTAAGGATATTTGATTTTTTTTTTTTTAAATACCAGCTTTCAAACGACTTGCAAGCCTCAAGTGTACAATAGCTAGTCTATGTAAACACATGATCTCTAAGGTGCCACAAGTACTCCTTTTCTTTTTGCGAATACAGACTAATATGGCTGCTACTCTGAAACATGATCTTATTCTGGCTACCATAATCTCCTCCGTCCCCTCCCCCACTTTCTAATCCCACAAAACCAAACACCCTTGCCCTGTCCCCTGCACCACCCCTTCCTCTGAGGACCCTCTCAGCTCACTCCATCCCCCCACCCTCACTCACTTTCACCGGGCTGCGGCAGGGGGTTGGGGTGCGGGAAGGGGTGAGGGCTTCAGCTTGGGGTGCAGGATGGGGTTTAAGGCTGTGGCAGGCTGTTCGGGTGCAGGACGGGGGTGAGGGCTTTGGGAGGAACTTAAGGTGTGGGAGAGGTTCCAACCTGGGGCAGGGGATTGGGGTGCGAGCTCTGGATGGGCAGCACTTACCTCAGGTGGCTCCCGGACGCGGCTGGCATGTCCAATTCCTAGGTGGAAAGACCAGTGGGTTCTGCGTGCTGCCTGTGCCAATGGTAGCTGTGGAGGCGGTGCTCGGGGTGGGGGCAGCACGCAGAACCCCTGTAGCCACCCCTGCGCCTAGAAGCCAGACATGCTGGCCGCTTCCAGGAGCTGCGCAGAACTAGGGCAGGAAGCCTGCCTGAGCCCCGCTGACCAGACTTTCAGCGGCCCAGTCAACAGTGCTGACCGGAACCACCAGGGTCCCTTTTCAACTGGGCGTTCCGGTCAACCCTACTCTACCCCCAACCCTTCTTTCCTATTGTTTATTATATTCATATTCTGCAACCTTCTACTTCATTTCTGGCAAATTCCATCATCAATAAATTAAACAAAACACAGCCTACAGTGCAGGGGTCAGAAGGAAGAACTACAAAAGGATGTGTTTAGTGGCCAAAAATTTCAGTATTGAGTGTCTGAAGTGGCTGCACATGGATTAAAGACCCTAAGTATGAATAACACAACTTTCAAAAATACGGAGCCCCATAACTTTATAAAGTAGTACTATAGAAGTATAAAAGTATTATAAGTACTATAGTAGTATAAAAGTAGTACTAAAGTAGTATATATAACTTTATAAAGTAGTACTTTTTAAAAAGTTTAATTTTGCTACCTCTTGTTGTATTTTCTTTAAAAAAAAAAATCTATTTCTCGCAGGAGCAAGGGGAAAGTAACCAGAGAATAGATTTTATGCATACTAAAGGTAACAGTATAGTTCATTTGCAGTGTATTAAACCTGTCCTGAAATCAGATCATAATAGAATATTACTTTCTACTGTGGTAATTTACATGACAAATGTAGGATATCTAATTGAAAGTGTTCAAAATAGTACTGATGTAAACACCAATTAAAATCTTACCTTCTTCTTCACCTTCTTGTTCTAATGCTGCACTTTCCTCTTCAAAACTTCCAATACCTGATTCTATCTGGGGAGGCTGGCTGTGTTGTTGACTTAGTTTGTTGCGAATAATGCTGATTTCTTTCTTTAACAGCTTTGCTCGTTTGCTCCTTGACCCACTGGATTTCATTGCACAGGTGAGATCAAGTTTTTCTAACAACTCTCTCAGCTGTTCTTCCAAGGACATATGCACTCTGTTAGCTGGATTCAGTAACCTATCCACTGAAGTCAAAACATGTGTAATTTAAGATATCTGTTAATAAGAATTTTTTTTACAAAAACTACTTGGAGAAAAAATATTTGCTAAGTTTCATGTTTTGGAATTAAAAATATAAAAATGGACTTTGGCCACAAGTTGAAGCAAGTTTTATAGTCTCACTATCACTAGTGAAAAGGTGCCAGTGTAAATTCCTGCTATGCCATTTGCTACAACTCTTGTTAGTTAGCATTTTTTGCTTCAGACATCCAGAACTGGAATAGCAGGGACTCTATAGGTCAGGACTGAGGTATACTAATAGAAAGGATGTATAATGACGCCTGACCCATAGTTCTACCAAATACTATTAATTCCTCCCCACTATAGTTATTTCTTCTCTTTTCATAGACTTACGTTTACTATTTTCTCAGTGCACAAGTCAAAATAAGACTTTTTGGGATTGCTCGTATTACAAGTGCAACTGATTATTATAACTGATTATTGAGTTTGTTTGCATCCTGCTTCATGTAACACCACTAAACAAAAATACTTCTGATTCAGCAAGCTACTTAAGCGTTTACATACATTTAAGCATGTAAACAGTCCCACTGAACTACTCAAGTATGCCCATACATAAGTAACTTGTATATTTCAATGGGAGGACTCATGCACTGAAGTTAAGCACATGCTTAAGAACCTTGTTAAATCTGGGCCTAAATGTTCTGGAATCAGAATTCAATTGAAAAGTTTTTTCTTGATTATGGATGGATCAGAACTGAGAATACAGTTTAATCTTTCAAAGGTATGATGTATTCACAGTGCTACAAAATAGTAAAAAAAAATCTTTTTGTCAGTAAACTAAACAGGTATGACTTGAACATGTGTAAGAACTACATAGTCTGACTGCAGTAAAAAAGTGCCAGTTTTAAAAATTATTTTAAAAATTAAACTTTAAAAATGCAGCTAATGCTTTGATTATATTTCTTGAAAATTGATCGCTACAGTAATTTAGAAAGTTTCTTACCATCTTCCCAGGAGAAAGGCTGGGGTGATTCTAGTTTAGGCTGTTCAGGTAAATGCATTCCAGTTTCATTATTATAACCGATCCCCTCAGCATCTCGCCTAGCTTGTCTCAGAACAACACCTCCTTGATCTCTTAATCGCACTGCAGCTCTATAGAATATTGTATCCTTCGCATTGTATTTCATACAGTTATCTATAATAAGATTAAAATCTTCTTCAAACTCATTAAGGTTTCTATAGCCTTGGGAATCTAACCGTTTTCTCATAGTAGATAAATCCATGGGATGTTTTATATGATCCAAATAATCTGGAACCTACGAATAAATATTAAAACAGAAGATGTTTAAACTTGCAGCTGATATAACAATAAAATAATTGTACTGTGATGAACTAATCTAGATTTTTAAAATTTTAAGTATATTTTGTGAAATAAAGAAAGCAGAGAATCCAGTTTCTAATCTGAAGCCCTGACCCAGTAAAGTTTTATACACATGCTTAACTTTTCCCATTATGAGATTACACAAAGTAAAGATTAGCATGGGCATAAATCTCTGTAGGATCATGGCCTTAGTACTCTTACTGCCACATGTTTGTTTATATATTGGTAGCCTGTTCAGATCAGTTAGTGGACTTCTAAAAGTGGAGCATGAACCTTGTGACTGACAATGAAACTTAAGTAACGCTATTAATGTATATCAAACAGTGTATTTTTGTGATTGTGGAGGGATTAAATAGTAGTATTTTTTTGCATGCAAGTTTCGCATATGAACTTGGTTTTCCTTTGGGAAATTTTGACCTTCCATCTCCAGAATAATTTAAGATGTAGTTTCTAGGATTATTTGAAAAACAGAAATAAAAATGAAGACACCTTTCCAACGTCTTTCACCAAGTAACATGACCACGACATGTTTACATCTATGTTTAAACAAATTAAATTTTAGACTGCAAAATGAGTTTCAAATGTCTTCCTATAATATAGGTCTATGTCTAAATACTACAGAATTATTTAATATTTTAAAAACAGGAAAACCAAGTCATAAATTCTCACTGAACTATTTTCATGTTCCCAGTCTACTTCTACTGGGGTTTAATTTGAACTTATTTTCAAATCTGCATATTGTAAAATAAATTTACTTCAAATATTTCCAATCCTGCAGTATAACTGAATAAAAAAAAATTAAATTCAGCTATCATGCTATGAACTATGATGAAAAGATTAATTGGAAAGGCACCTCCTTAAGGTTTACTGGCTGAGTAAATATTCGAGCAGAATCCTTTTCCTGCAGCTGGTCCAGAACTGATCGCAACAGTACAGTGAATGGAGTCAACTGGAGCTCCATGGCGACCTGCTCAACCTTGATCTGAATAATGAAATATAAAAAACACCAAATAGTAAGTTATTTTCAACTAGAAGAAGTGACTACAAATTACTTTTCTTCTCTCTCTCTCTCTCTCAAAAGCGTCTAATTCAAGTGAATTTGCAGCTTCACTTCCAAGGAGGGATTTTATCCGTTATCTGAATGCGCTTTCAATCTGAGAATGATTATAATGCTAGTGCAGATTAAATTTCGTAATTTTTCAAAAATTATTTAACAGTTCTAAAGAAAACAGGCTACAAAAAAAGCGGCTTTATAGAACAAGACCAAATATACAAAAAAATAAGAAAAGGAGGACATCGTAGAGATTAACAAATTTATTTGAGCAAAAGCTTTCGTGAGCTACAGCTCACTTCATCGGAGCAACCAAGAAAAATACATTTTTTTAAAACAGTGCAAAACTCAAACATGGTGCCACATGCAAGCTATGCCAAATGAGTTTATAGCACTGATATCCAAAAGTAAAAATATTACAATTCTACACCTAAGGTCTGTTCTACTTAAACTTCCAGAAAAAATAAAAGCTGTTTATTAAGATCAAAATCACTAATTACTTCAAAGGTTTGATCCTCCTATAGGGATAATTATATATTGTTTTAATAACTGTAAAGAAAGTTTTAAATAATCCTCTATAAAAAGTGGTTTCAGAATATTTTAAGAACATACTTCTAGTATTCAACATTAAAAGCAACAATTTGCTGAATAATCTTGATTTCAATATCAGTGATACTTTCGATATGAAAGATATCCTTTTAGACATCAATTGACTGATAAGGGGATGTATAGGACTTTGTTATCTTTTAATATATTAAGGCATTAAACTTCAGTATGTAGTCAAGACTATTACCAATGGACTATATTAACTCATAATAAAAGTGCAATTACATTCTGAAAAGTAATTTTGGAAAAATGTCATCCTGGGGTTTCATATTTAATATGCGAGTGATTCCAGAGCTCATGTGCCCCATTTACAACTAAATTGTGGTTTTTGTAAGTGCCAGCACTGCAAACTCAATTTTGGCTCTGAGAGTCATGCTGTGTTCTTTCCTTCTCACCTACCACCACCAGTATGAAGATTCTGCAGGCCAAATTATGCATTCCTTTACACTAGGGCAAAGCCACTGACTTCATTATGTTTATACAAGTGTAAACGACTGGCCCTTACTCCCACTGTGCTTCTTTGCCCTCTGTGTTGTCTCTACAGGATTAATAGGAATTAAAAATACCAATTATTTTTCACACAAAAGTGAATAAATGCAACACACACACTCTACTTCAGATCTGATGCGTAGAAAGGTGCTATTTTAATTTACTTAATAATGGACTGCCCAACATAATGGCCTAAATTCAGTCTAAATTCTTTATACTATGCGTGATTTTGTTATTGTTTAACATCAATGAGACAGACAGTAGAGTCTTTTTCCTTTAAAAAAGAAATCCATCAGCAATCTTCCTTTTTCCTTCAACAAAGTTTCACCAAATTGAAGTTATCCATTTACCTGTTCTCTTTTTAATTTTTCACGTTTACGTATAAGTTCAATCAACAAACGTGCTCTCTCCAGATCATGGCGCAGCCTTTGCCAGTACTTTAACTTCTCCTTTAGGGCTTGCATTTCTTCATCATCTTCTCTCTGTAAGAAAATAACCATAGTTTCTAAAGTTGGAACATAATAGGAAATGCCAATTATTTTTTACTTATTTCTAAAAACAGCAAACCATTCTCTATTTTTGGCAATTCAAATATTGCATTCAAAACAATTATGGTACAAACCTCCCGCTCCCTTACAAGCCAGTGTATTTCCTTACTACTTCTAAATTCCTTACCTGGGAGTAAGGTTTGACTGCTTTCGGTTTCACACTATTTATTATTATTCTAAATAAATGTTTTTATGATAGTGCTCAAGGACCAACTAAATACAGGGCCACACTGTGCAAATGAAGAGTAGTAGACAGTCCCTGCCCTGAAGATATTATAATCTAAACAGAGAAGGTAGAAAGGAGGGCAAAGGAGGTAGAATACACAAGCAGAATGAACAATGTGCCAACAACAAACGTTTTAGTTCCATAATTGGGCGGGGTGGGGGCGGTTGTTGGTTAGGAGGGGATAAACTCAACAGAAAGAAAAGGGAAGGAAAGGCGGAGTGAGAAAGACTGGGCATAGGAGAAGAATGGGTTAGGTATAGTGTGAAGCTGAGCTGAAGAGATTGAGGGGGAGGGTTGAAGCAAAACAGCCAATCAGCATATGACAGAGAAAGTCCAGTCAAAACTGTAGAAAGTTATCCTAATGTCCAAAGGAACAAAGGTCCCTACTTCTGCTGCTTCTCCTCTACCAGCAGGAGTCTCTGGCTGGTTCCTCTCTGTAGTCCCCATCCCCCACCCCAAGGCCACATGGGAGGCAAAGGCGGCCCCACCTGAGTCCTAGTGTACTCAGTCTCCCCTGCATGTTTGTGGGTCCAAGGAAGTGCTGGAGGGGAGGATGGCCCCATCTGGTCCCATCTGGTTACTTTTAAGACAAAAATGAATTTACTTTAGAAAACAAATGGCGGCTGAGATACCAAAAAGTATATGAATCTGGGTCCAAAACTCCTGGACCAGCAGGATTTAGAAGCATTGCAAGAAGCAGTCCTGGTAAAAGAAGCAATTCTTGTCATCTCAACTGACCCCTTTTTGTAAGCTAAGGAGTAGTGGTGACTGGGCACCACGAATGCTGTGACTTTGAAGAATTGGAAACAAAAATCAACCCTCCCACACACTCTCCAGTAGTGGGTAGCAAGGGAGGGAAAACCTTAGACTTGGAAGAGGGATAAAGTTAGAAAGCTATTCTGACTATAGATTCAATGGATTAGAACCCTGAAAGTTTCAGCTGCAGGAGGCAAAAGAACAATTTCAACAGAAGATCAATTAACAAAATATATGATAAGGATATGTAGAAAATAATCAGTTCAAATAGATAATAAGATTAAACCAGATTAAAACAAATAGATAGGCTTTATGAACCCGTGAACATAGGTCTCCTAAGTATCTCTAGAAAGACTAATTGTGTAATATATGAAGTATTTAGCTATATTTGAACAAATATGAAGGAAAAATATTGATAACGCTGTATGGAAGAAACAAACAGTTACAAAAGAAGAGGAAGAGATTATTCAGGGTATTCAAAAGGAAAAGCAAGTCACCTGGAAAGTCCTGAAGTTAGACCTTAATCAGGAAACAGAATGATCTACTTACAGAATACAGAGTATCAGATTTTACAAAGATATTTTGGAGCTAATTGAAAATTTTGTCAACTTGCCTGGAACTGTCTTCTATTAGATGATTAGCAGTGCCTAACAAAATGGGCTACAAACACAGTTGGACACTTTAGGTGCTTCCAGAATAGAAATAATAAAAAACAATAAAATCAGGGATTCATTAAATTTGAAATATATATCTATAAAAACAAGGGAAATGCTTGGGAGAACCGTGAAAATACAACACAGCTCAACACAAAAGCTGTCAAATGCACAAACTGAAATAATCTCTCATCTTTCAATTTTAGTAATATTAATATAGGTTCTTTGTAGCAAGGGTAGATGATTTTTTTCAGACTGTAGTGTCATTTTTAAGTTATGTCACTTCAAGACAAAAAGGAGGTGGCAAGAGCCAATGGGTCTGCGATTTTGTGATTTTTTTTAAAAAAAAACAAACATCTCAGCACAATAATGTATTGTTTTACAGAAGTTATGGTAAAACAGGACAGCCATATAGTTTATTTATCAAAATGCTTACAATTACAATTTCAAGACATGTAAATCTCTCTGACTCTTCTGCTAAAGTTAAGAATTCTCATCTATCAGCTGTTTTTTCTCTCATCAGGCCAATCTGGAAACAATGGTTTGTTCCTCTTTCCAAATTGCAAAGAGGCACAGAACAGAATCAGACTCAAATATAAGCAGAAAGGAAAAATGGCACTAACTTCATAAAGTCTGAACGTGAGAATTTTGAGCCAACCTCTTTATTCCAATAGGAACTCTGATGGTCAGGTAGGAGACCCACTAACGAGAATTTTTATTTCTAAATTTTTAAAAAGAGCATTTGTCTACTAGCAGGGTCTGTACTAGCATTAGTTCTTAGTGTTCCCAAAAGGTCCATCATCTGAATCTCAAATAAATCTTGAGTGCTTGCAAAAGACTCAAATGGGTAACTGCCTTGTGTGTTGTAGAGGCTCCCTTCTCTTGATGAACAGAGAAACCTTATTTTTAATACAAAGTGGCCTCATGGCAGCTAGACAGGAAGACGCCTCAAAGATGCATAGGCTTCTTCGGGCTTGTCTACACGGGCACGCTAAACCCCTAAATCGGCGCTGAGATAGATGCAATGGCATTGATTTAGCGGGTCTGATGAAGACATGGTAAGTTGATGGCAGAGCACCCGCCCGTCGACTTTAGTAGTCCAGCTCTCCGAGAGGCGGAAGCTAAAGCAGCAGGAGATAGTGCAGTGTTGACACCGCGTTCAGTTGATGTAAGCTGTGTCGCTGAGGAGGGTGATTTTTTTACACCCCTGAGCGACGTAACTTACATCAACTTAATGTAATCAATGTAGACTAGGTCTTAGATATGTATTTACTTACACCCTCGGAGAAGAGTAAGGCGATTTGAGATACCTTTCAGGTCTCATTTTAGTGTCTAACAAAAAAATTTTCTGATATGCGTAATTTTTTTGTTCTGTCAACATCCTTAAATATGGATCTCCAGAGTTCCTTTTTTCCAAACATCTCTTTTCTGTGGCAAAAACAGAAAGATGTCCTGCCTGACATGAAAGGAAAGAGAAATTTAGGAAGAAAGGATGTGATTCTCCTTTGAATAATCTTATTCTGACTGAAAACCAATTATTCCATTCTCTGCAAAAATCTCTACTTCCCCAACCTGCTGGGTCAAAATAATTACCAATACTAAAAATCATTTTTAGAACAGGAAAAATTGATTAATATCCTCATGGTCTTGAAAAGTGTTAAAGGCCAAGGAGTATTTCTACTGTCCAGGAAGGGACAGTGGGCCTAACAGTAGATGACACAGTTTGTTCTAAGGAAGTTCATCACTGGGATTTAAACCTTAATGAATCCCATGGACCTTTTACCTAGCTGTTTGGGATCATTATGAGCAATGTCACCATAACTGAAAGCCTCCTTCAGGGCTGAACTAACTGACAGCGGGGCCACACCAGCCCCCAATGCAGCCCAGGTTGTTGAAGAAACACAGGTAGCTTAAGGCAACATTTGCCCTCACGGAGTTAAACCTTCTCTATTGTGCTTCCTGTGACATCTAACAGAATATGACCCCTGAGTTCTACTCCCAGCTCAGTCAGGCATGACCTTGTGTAACTTCTTAGTTACACCCCACATCCGTAAAATGGAGGAAGTGATACTTGCTGGTGTTAAAACAAGGTTATAAGGTTAGGTTCTATAATAAAGTTTCATAGATTGCAAGGCCAGAAGTGACTACTGTGATCATCTAGTCTGACCTCCTGTATAACACAAGCCATAGAACTACCCCAAAATAATTACTAGAGCGTATCTTTTAGAAAAAGATCCAATCTGAATTAAATTTCCTGTGATGGAGAATCTACCACGACACATGGGAAATTGTTCCAATGGCTAATTTCACACACAGTTAAAAATCCATATCTTATTTCCAGTCTGAATTTGTCTAGCATCAACTTCTAGCCCTTAGATAATGTTATACCTTTCTCTGCTAGATTAAACGTGTATTCCTCACGTAGCTACTTTCACACTATAGTCAAGTCACACCTTAACCTTCTCTTTATCCAGCTAATCAGATTAAGGTCCTTTAGTCTATCACCATAAATCATGTTTTCTAATTCTTTAATCATTCTTGTGGCTCTTCTGTGTACACTCCACAATGTTTAAACATTGTGGAGTGTACACAGTTCACACCAGTCAGTAGAAGAGTTCAGGGTTTTCTCCTTGTATCCAGCACACCTTCTTCCAATGGTTAAAATAGATACATCTCCTTCAATCCAACAAGCTCTGATGAACACGTGCAAATGGTGATTTTCAGAGGCTTACAACATGGCCAAATGTGGTCAGATTTTTCACTGAGACAGCAAAAGAGAGAGCTCTCTCATGCTGGAACCATCCCTTTGTGAAGTTCCAACTGCAAACTTTGGAGGCACACAAATTCTTCAAAAAATAGTAGGAAAAAAATTTTTAAACTAGAAAAGCTACCCATTTTTTTCTTAACTTCATTCTCAGAAACAACAACCATTTTTTCTGAGTTCTGGTGCACACACAGAACTTAAATCAGCATAACTCTATTTCTCTGGGAGCCAGCATGTATTCACACACACATACACACTTATCTCCCATCAACAGATCATTGGACTTAAACAGATTTAATCAATCCAGTTCTAAAAAAAACTGGAAGGAAGCAGAGAATGTGCATGGAAGATTTAAGCTCTCACAACTGAAGTGTAGCAGGGCAAATACGAAACTGAAAACAGGAACTCATAATCAACGTCAGTGAAATACAAATGTAAATGTCATTAACAGCACCGCCTATAATATAAACATTAAAATAAATTTACCAGTGCAATTACTGGTAAACAACTGCCAGACTGCACACTTGAATGTGCC